ATCGTTACGTTCTTCTATATTTATGTCATTATATGCATATGCTAAGCCTAAAATCTACCCGATTATTTTTATCGTATTTCATAATGTCAACAAGTTATTTACGTGTATAACCAATTCTATGGCTAGACAAATGCATCTATTTATAGTTATTATAGCAAAATGGACACCGTTTACACTGTGTAACAAGTAAATTATTCTGTCTGAGTTTTCAGGTGTGCCTTAAGAATTGAAATTTCGTTTTTTTCATTATAATTTGAAGAAGCATCTATTTGATGCTCTTTTTAAAAATCCATAAGAAACGATTGGAATGTGACTTAATTACACGCTTGAGATTTATACGGCAGTTACGTAAATATTTCAATCAACTTTACGACTTTAGATTTGATGAATTCTTTCCAGCTTTGTCTTTGGCTTTCAGCAAATAATCTCTTAAGTCTCCTTAAGTGAAATAAAAACGTTATCTTTCTAATTGTCTCTCTTTCTCTTTCTCTCACTCTAACTCTCTCTCTCTTTTCTTCCTCTCTTCCCCTTTTCTCTCTCACTCTCCCTCTTTTTTATCACGATCTCTCTCTCCTCTCCCTCTCTGTCAGTCTGCCACCATTCCTTTTTCTCCTCCTCCCTGTCGTAATCTCTTCTCTATTCTCTGCCTCGGTCTGTCTGTCTCGCTCTCTCTCGCTGTCAATCACTTACCACCTCTTCTCTCCGTCGGTATACCTTTTCTATTCTCAGTCAGTCTTTCTCCCTCTCGAATTGTTTCTCTGCCTCGTTGTCACTATGCCCTCTCTATTCCCTCTCTCGTTCGCTTTCTATTTCTATATATATTCATATAGAAATATATACATATCTTTCAGCGACCTTTTCGGTCTATTATTTAAATTCGCCCCTTTCTAAGTCTTTAAAGCTATACTAATATACGCCAGCATCCTACTTATAGATGCATGCTCGATAATTATATTAGAATTTTCGAATCTCATATATTATTAAATATGAAAATACATAAGAATTGGTGAAACTGGTTATTTGATTACCACTTTCATCATATGCTTAAAGATTAACTGTGATATATTTGAAGATCTTAACATTTGTAGTAGGTTAAGTCCAAAATCATTTTACTTTTCCCACACACAAAAGGTTTTTCTTCCAAAACTGATTCGTGCGCTGACAAGAGTTGAAAATCAAAGAGTTAACATCAACGAATTTTGGAATACAAATACAAAATACATTTCCGCTGTTGCACGCTGGCTCGTTGCTTGTTGCATGCCCTTTGCATTGATTAAGGTGTCTTGTTAATTGTAATCTAGAGTGAATTGTGGCTCATATCTCACGATGCGCTTCCGTAGCAGCAACAGCAACAACAACAACAATAAGAGTATCTGATAGGGATGCAGACACAATGCTCAAATTGTCGGATGCTGCATAGTAATAATGCAATTTCATGCTGCATTATAATCAACTCATGGCTATGCTTGATATAGATCAGATCCTTATATAACATGCGGATGATTATAGAAATAGTGAATAAATGTTGTGAGTGCTGGCAACTAAATTGACAAGCGAAAAATCATTCGTTTTCTGATTTTTGTTTAATGGCTGATTGATGTTTGATGGATGCTTGATTGAAGCCAATTGCCCATCGCTACTGTAGAATTATTCTTATTTAATGTAAGAATGAATGGGGTATTGAGCATGGATGGCTGACTGTTGTGCGATTGATGTCATACATCCATTCATAACTGAGGAAGCTTATGTGATTTTGGCCATTTTCATCATTTTGTTATATGCAAAATAAAGTTAAAGTTCATTTGGTTAATTAGCCAGCTGTCTAAGCTTCTGAAAGCATTTTGATTAATGATTGATTGATCTACTGTAGATTCATAACTAAAAGCGTTTATGATATGTTCTTATATAATGAGCTATAAGCTGATAATGCCGAAAGAGAGAGGTGAAAATGAACTTGCCAAACGGCGCACACAAATGGCCAAGATGCACGCGCTTTCTGGCCATTTCGCGGTATTTCAAGCCATTTCGATTGATGGAGAAAATCCATTGCTATCCTATTCCCAATCGCAGCTCGACAGGCACATCATCTGTTTGATATGTGGCTACAGTGGCGCGACGACTGCTGCTGCTGCTGCTGTGGCGTCTCCTTTGGAGGCAACAACAACTTTCACAAAACTTTTGCCCAGTTGCCGAGTGAGATTTTGCTAGTGCGCCTGTCGCCCCAGTGCGAACCGATTGGCAATTCTTATTACAGAATCAGGTGCAACTTTTGCTTTTGCATGGCAAGCCTCGACACGTTGTTGTTTATGTCACTGAACCGACGCAACGGCAACGGCAACGGCAACTGGGCCGCACGTTCGGTTGACAGTAAAAGTAAGCGAGAAAAGTGAACGCAATCGAAGTCGACCCACTTTGGCATAGTTTGACTCGGCCCCAAAAACATTCTCGCTGGTAACTTCAGGCAGCAGCCCGAGCGCCCCAACGGATGCTGCATGAAAACCAATCACATTGTCTTCCTCGTTTTTCTGCTTCTTTCGTTTCTTAAACGCATTGCGAACGCAGCTGGGGGCCAGCAATTTTTTGGGAAAATCTCGTATGGTCGGTTTGTGAAATAAAACGAAAATAAAATCGGGTGGCCCAAAGCCAGCGGCTAGTGTCGTATGTCAGTCGTAGAAATTAAATACGAAAACCGGCCACCGGCTCGCATTCAATAATAAAGTCTGTTCAAACACTAAACCAACGACTGCAACATACTCTATTCGTAGTATGTGGAAATTATCGTCATCTTAATTTCATTTTATTTTGGTAACACTAAACAGTTTTGTGATCTCTTAAACTGTAGTGCTTTTAAAATTTTTCTAGAATATATAAAATATTTGAAAAATAGAAATCACTATATAATAAGAAGCCTAATATGTTCTTCTCCAAAAATGTTTAAAATGTATAAAAAACACTTTTCAACTTAAAATATGCAAATTAAAAATTTTATGTAAAAGGAAAAAAGCTCTAAATAAGTTGAATATCTGGAAAATGATAGCTTAAACATATTTATTTATTTATTTATATCGGACACTTTATTTTAAATCAATTTACGGTAAGCACAAGTAATTTTAAAATTTTTACAATATGAAAAAATTCAAAAATTTTAAATTGTATACAAAATACCTTTTATATAATGTAAATTATTTTACATCGAATTATTATATGTTAATACATTGTTTCATATTTATTAATTGAATATTATTATTTTGTATACATACTTTTTTCAATTTTTTTTGCTATATGTACATACATATATGCAGACCTAGAAGAGTTCAATTTAATATACAATACATACACGTACATACATATGTCTAAAATCTGAATAAGTTTCATGCTGACCTATATTCAAATGCAAATCTCGTATATAGACCCATATATACCCGAATCACACTGAATGAACAGTGTATAGGAATAAAGATTTGTACAAACAAAATCGCGCCTCAAACGAGCAATTGGCGTGACTTAATGATGCATAAATCAAAGCGGGGCCACTGCAGATTGGGCAGCTGCCCCAATGCCGATTGGGGCATGTGCCGCACGCAGCTGGGGCATCTGCAACCAGCTGCCGACTGCCAGATGAGTCGCGCAAAGTGGACAAAAACATTTATGCCGCTTTAATTGCGTGCACTGCAGTTGCCAATGCCAATGCCAATGAAAGTAAGTTGCCTCGAGACATCGAGAAAAGTAAAAGAAGACTCAAGGAAAACTGATAAAGCGGCCAACCAGAATTTCCAGCTAAGCGCAATCCTTTTAAGGCAACCAGATCTCAAATTCTCCTGTTTTCTTCTCTTTTTTTGCTATTTGTTTTCTTCATTTCAGCTTTTAGCTGCAATGCATTTCACTTTTTTCACATTAGCAAATAAACATTTGCCAATTTCACAATCTCTCACTCGGCGGCGCATTAGGTGAAATAAAGGTAAGGCAGGTAAACAAATTGATGAGAGTTATGTGGAAATAAAATCAATAAATAAAACTGGTTTATAAACATAAATATGGGGCGTACCAATTTAAAATCAATTGAAGACAAAAGGAAGAAAAGTAAGTAGGAATTTGCACTCAATAACCAATAAAAAAATTTGAATTATCCATAGTGAATAGTGAACTATAGATATTACTGTAAAGCAGTAAACAAACAATTAATTTCTAACACATACAAAGTGTCTAAACGAGCTTATCACACGGTTGATATAATGTACATGCATTACACCAGAACCTGTGAAATATTATCAGCCAGCAATTTCGTATTTAAGAGGTTTTTCATTTGTTGCTCCCTCAGTTCGAGTTCATTCGTTGTAACGCTTATAGCACAGAGGGAAAAAATCCTATTAGGAGTTCAAACATGTTCTGTTCGAAGGAAAACACTGCACAGCCTGGACCGATGAGCCATCATTGCCATGGAGAGACGCCTGCATCATCCTTGTGGTCACATCATCATTATGGACACCACCATCATTACCAACACCACCATCAGCACCCGGCCTACTTTAGTGCTTACGTATGGGACCGTCAACATGGACATTGCCACAGTCATCATCATTTCCATAGATCAAAATGTTTTTTTCGTGACTCTAGAAAGAAAATTGTGCAGGAGGAACCCAAGCAGATGTTTGACTACAGTGAAAACTATAATTAGACGTACAATATGTTTTTTATTAATTTATTTATTATTCAAGTGGTTTTGGCTATAAATTAAAATTCATAAACTATCTAAATAGCATGTACATATGTATATAAATATAAGTACAAATATATATAAAAACAGAAAACATTGCAATACGTTTCTAATTATAGGCGCCAAAATGAAATAGCAGCAACGTATCGATATATCGATATATGCATTTGGCATTTTTTAATCAATTATCAGACTAAAATACTAAAATGCCTGGAAAATAAACAAAATGCACAAACTGAACATTTACTTTTCGCTATGGATTTGCATTTAATTTAACAAATTCAACTTGAGTATTCATATTATAGATATATTTGTGTCTAATTGGAATGGCTCTTCACTAATAATACCAGAGCACATATATATAGAGCACAATCAGCACAAAGAGTAGATGTATGAGAAACAATTCGATGGCCAACGTGAACAAAGCCAGCGGATTAACAGGCGAAAATGTAATCAGAGCAAACATGTTGCAGCAGCTTGGGATTCACGCTCGCAGGCGGATAGCAGCTTTACTCCTGCACGGTGAATGTTAACTGTTTGTTGCGGGAGCTCTCGAATCGATTGGGCGTGTGAATGCTGAGCATCGCCGTGATGCCCAACGAGAGGATGCCCAGCAGGAAGGCGGTCACGAGCAGGCCAGCCAAAATTGGTGATGTGATGAAGCCAACGCAGTCATAGACATCGCCGAACTCTTTGCGTCCGTTAAGCCAGGGCTGCACTTGGTAGTCGGACAACACCAGGTTCATCTGAGTCTCGTTGGTGTTTCTGTTGGAGAAGAGCAGCTCCTCGGAGGAGCAGCGGAAGGAGAATCCAAGCGGCGCCGATGGCAGCGTATACTCATTGCCAATGGCCGGCAGCACAGCCTTGTAGTCCCTGTACTCCACCTCGACGTTGCGCATATGCCAGGTGCCACGCAGCAGCGAGAACTTGAAGCGCAACGTGCACTTCTCGCTGTTGTACATGAAGGTGATGCTCAGGCGACCGTAGCCCTTGGCGCGCTGATCATCGAAGGTGATGTGCTTGTTGTGCTCCTCCAGCAGCAGTGTCTCGTTGCTCAGGCGCAGCTCGGGCGGCCCGGTCAAGATTAGCACAGCCTTGTTGCCCTCTGCTATGTAAACCTGGGTCACTTCAGTCTCAATGAGCGTGGACTGTGTGGTCGTGGCACGATTGGCGTCCTCCTCCTTCGCCTCGTCCTTGGCTTCACGCTTGGCCAGATAATGAGCCTCTTCCTCGCGACTGGCTAAAATGCCTAACACCTCACCATGGCCATAAATGGTTAGAGCATCATTGTAGCCCGTCAGCAGCTCAGCGTCGTCCTCATCACTCTGTCCGCTTAGGTTAATGACCTGCGCAAAGGAGGCATGCTCTACATAGATGTCATACAACTTATGCATAGATACACACCTCAATGTTGGCGTTGTAGCTGTAGGGCTCCACGGGCAGGTTGCGCTGCGGCAGATATGTCCACGCGTTGTTCTTCACCAGATTTTCAAACTTGGGATACTTGGTGCCCTCCAGTCGGCTTGTAGAATTACGCACGAAAATTATTATTGCCTTGACATCTTTGAACAGTTGCGTCAGAGGCTGCTCCCTGCTACTGGCATCGACTAACGCTTGGGGTTGTAAATTGAATACCTTGTCGTGACCCCAAAACAGATACGGTCCACTTATGGCTGCACTGCAGCCGAGCGCCAGACTTATGAGTACCCCAACTGCAATTAGCTGCATTATTTGATCTTAACTCCTGCAAAGCTGACAACACGTTCGACTACACTTTGCCCCCAAAACTGACTAAGAAAACTCTTGAGCGAAAAAATCAATGAGTCTGGTTTGGGCGAGGCGCAGGCGCAGAAAATGTTTTCAATTCACTCTTTGGGGGTTGCTGTCTAAATGGGGTTGGCTGTGTCCTAGAGGGTGGTTCACAATGGCAGCTACTTGTTGATTCAAAGACTTTTCTGTTAAGGGATCTCTCAGATCTCAGATCTCTTGCTAAGGTATTTAACGTAAAAGAATGACCATGGAATGTATCTACTAGAAGTAAGGTCTTAGATACTTATATCTAAAGAAAGGAATACTATATAAGCAATACGGATATGTCAGATGCATTAGCGCTTAATGATATGATGAAGCATTGTACTCGTAGAGCAGGAGGCTAAACCTTCGTCTCTGTTTCATACTCTACTCATATCATAAAAAGTCTTATATTTCTTGTATACAAAACATATTTTTATTGTCTTTAGGCTTAAAGTACAAAGAGTATTTACAAAAGTTGGAGAACTAAACTGATGACTGTCACAGCTAATACATAAAACTTTGGCTGGGTTGGTGCTAAACTAGATGAGAAGCTGCCTTTAAAGGTTTTGGTACCTATGAGACAGAGAGAGAGAGAGAGAGAGGTATATCAATTATCATATATTTAATCGATTCTCAATATATACTAACGCTTCTCATTGATATCCCTTACACCACAGGTGCGATAGGAGATGGTCGCCTTGCGCTTGGTATTGACGTAGCCCGGTATGTAGAGACTCGGAGCATCGAGTCGACCGGCGGCTATCAGACGCGACATATCCAACTCGAGGCGGTGTGCCAGAGGCCCCTTGAAGTGTATGATCATCTGTATGCAGGCGCCGCCATGCAGCTCCTTTGTGCGTCGCGCATCCACATCCAGCATCCACTCCGGAATGCCCATCACCGAACGCAGCTCCTCCAGAAATTGTGCGCTGCAATTGATGCATATTTCACTCAAGCAATGCATTAGCTAAGTGAATGATTGCACTTACACAACGAAACGGGGCGGCTTTTGCAGATTTATGTACTTGATAACATTGTGATCCGGTTCGATGTTGGCGCAGGCGAAACGCTCGTGCGAATGATCCGGTCCAAAGATCACAAGCGAACGGCCAATGGCACCAACGGGCGCTTCCAGTGGGAAATTGGAATCGGTCAGCACCACGCGCTCGCCACCCAGATCTAATGAGAGATGGAATAGGAGATGATAACTATAACAATAGGAGATCTGAAGCTACTTACCTATCGTACCCAAGCGGGCACCCACATCGCCCACATAGCACCGCAGCGGATTGTCCGGTCCACACTCCTGCTCATACAGATCGAGCTGAGGGCAAAGCATAAGTTAATCTCTAATTATTTTTATTATAAATTCACATTCACCCACATTCAAGGGATCGGCCAGCTGTGTGTAGAAGGGATTCCAGACATAGCCACCAGCGACGCAACGTGTTGCGGTTGGCTTGACGGCCGCATCAACGCCCACCGGATTGACAAAGATCTGCCAGTTGTGATTGCGTGTGGTGTTGCGATCGTTTTTGCCCGGATGACGCATCTTGACCTCGATCACGGTCTCCGATTGACTGCCATCGTTGTGAATGAGCTGTGTCATCTTGACGTAGCCATAGGCATAGCCGGTGGGATGATGGAATGAGGCGATGGCGCGCAGCTCACGCGCTTCACTTGGACTGTAGCCGCGTTCCAGGGTGCTGCAAGCCCAGCGAGCGTTCTTTTGTTGCTTGTGTATGACCACGGAACGGCCAATGATGCTGGTGTAGCCGAACAGCGGGAGATAGGTGTCATTGTAAGCATCCTCGTACTGAGTGAGTCCATTGAGTCGTCCAAACTTGCCGCTCAAGTCGCCCATCTCATACTGATCGCTGGTGCCCTGCTTGGGCGGTGGCGAGGACTTTGGATTGACTCCGAAGGGATTCCAGTGGCCGTACAGAGTAGAAGCTTCGCAGGGGAAGGCCAGGTTGGCCTCAACGGGTGTCTGCAAGGAACGAAACGCTAAGAAACTTGAGGCTAAGCTAATGCAGCTGATGTCCTACCATGTGTATGTGATAGCCGCTGTTGTCCTGCAGTCCTTTGAGCTGCACCTCCACGTTGCTGATGTCGTACTCGGACTGCTGCGTTATTTCCAGCTTGCCGGCAACCGTGAGCGCATCCCCATTGGCATACCAATCCTTGGCCACCACCTTGCGACGGTAGTGTCCGATCAGACTGGAGCAGGCTAGGCGCTCACCTCGCGCCTTTGGTCCATGGTCGTCGTAGATGACCAGGGATTTGCCCAGTATGCTGTGGCTGCCCGACAGCGGCAGATTGCCATCGATGAACATGCGTCGGCTCAGCTGGCGCGCGCTGCGTTTACCTCCAGCTATTGTCAGCCTACCCAGACGTGTGTCCAAGGCGCCCATACGGCACATGGCGGGCCGCTGCGGATGGCAGAAGTCGTCAACGCTGCGATTGCCCCAGTCCACCTTGAATGGATTGAAGACAGCGCCAGTTGAGACGCAACGCTGCTGCCAGTCATAGAAGTCCTTGCCCGGCGGATTGCTGTGGATCGCCCAGCGATGCTCGTAGCTGCTGTTCTGCGAGGAGCCATCCGCCTGTATCAGATACTCAAATAGCACTGTCGTATCCTGCCAGGGCTGCTCGGCGGCCTGACGTAATATGACGCGACCGACTATAGGATAGCGGAAGAGTACCTAAATAGAATGATGTGAATTATAGATGGAGGAAGTCTAAGAGAGAGACGGTCTTACCTGAGCCGTAAACATGGGCTGCTGGTAGATGCCATTCCGCTGGTATTGATTCAACGGAGAGCAGCCCCAAATAGTCTTGGTTATGTTATGAATATCGTTGCGGTTATAGGTATAGATGACTAGACTGCGATGGGCGATGCTGTGACGACCCTGCAGAGGCAGATAGAGATCCCAGTAGAGGCCACTCAGCTCGGAGCTAGTGCCGGGCAGGACGTACTGATGGAAGTACTGCTTGTTGCGGCCCTGCAGCTTGCCGCTGAGATCGCCAAGGGCGTATTGCTCCTGGGTGCCATAGCCGGGTGGCGGCGCATGCTCCAGGTTCACCTCCAGAGGATTGAATAGCTCGCCCGCCGTCTCGCAATAGTCCGGCTGCCCGATTCTTTGCGGCGCGGGCGGAAGACTGTGAATGCGAAAGGCGGCCACATCGGCGGCAAACTTGCGACTCACGTGCGGAGCATGCGGAGTGGACAAAGTGAAGTTGAGGAAAGTGGGATCAAACTTGGAGCGCTGGCTAAAGGTGACCTCGCCCTTAACACCGCCAGAGTTGATGAAGCTCCTGGCAAGCAAATCGCAAAATTCAGTTAGCAAATCAAATTTAACTAAGACTCTAACTCACTTATAGGTCAGCGTTTGCACGTGCCGAATCTTGGTGCAGGCCAGATAGTTATCCGGATGCTGATTGTCGTAGAGCATCAGGTAGAGCGTGCGATGCGGTATGGTCAGATCTGAGGGCAGCAGCGCCAGCTGTGCATCCCGAAAGACGCTGCGCTGCGGCTGACGCAACGCGTTCTTGGCCACATTGATTCTACCCAGACGCGCATCCAAGTCGCCAATGCCGTGACCCGGGCCCTGGCCTTGGGGATCGAACACCAGCTGCAGGAAATTGCAATTGTCCTCGCTGCGATGGTGATCGTGCTTGAAGATGTCTGTCACAAAGATCTTCCAGTGATGTTGCGTGAACGGATACTTGTCCTCCGGCTGTGCCTGTATATGATACAGATCCGAGTAGATCAGCGTATCACCGCTGGCGCCATCTGTCGGTGCCAGCCAGCGAAAGTACACAGAGCCCGCAATGGGCGTATTGAAGCGCGCCTCCGCCATGTGCTCCATGGAGTTCTGCACCGTGGTTATCGTGGCGCAAATTCGTGCATTCGAATTGATTTCCGTCAGTACCAGCGACTTGCCCCAAATGCCCCGATCTCCGATCAGCTGCATCTTGTGCTCCCATCGAGCCGTCTCATTGCCCGGCAGCACCAGATAATCCAGTTCCTCATCGAAGCTGAGCACCTGGGCGCCCAGACGCTCCAGCTGACAGCGCTCGTCGGCCTCTATGTTCGTGTAGTCCACGGGAAAGCGTCGCACGGCCCAGCTCCAAACCTGTTCGGGATACTGTAACGTCGCCTCCAGACTGGCCTGGATCTCCACCAGCTCGGGGCTGCTCTGCCGAAACGTGATCTCTCCGTGCAGTCCATGCTGCGAGATGTAGGCAATTAGATGCTGTGCCTCAGCTGGTTACGAAGCAGAAAAACAAAACAATACTCATATGGATGAGTCAAGAAAAAAAACCTGTGCTAATCAAACGCGTTTTTGCAGAGCATGTATATACCCTGCAATTAATGCGGACATGGGGTATACTCGAGTTTCGTTAACTTATGAAATTATGTGAGATAATATATCATACATTGCTAAAGCTGTAGACTTGCTGAGAGCTACATACATACATACAAATATTGTTTCCTTATTCCCGTACCAAATTACATATGAAAATCGATAAATATCGATATTATACAAATATATAACATGCTAGTCTAACGATAAATGCCAATGCCTTACAAGAGTTTTAAGAGCTCTTCGTCTGGTTTATTATAAGGATATAGAAATTATAACTTCATCTTTCGATAACCTTCAAATTTAATATACATCGACCTTCAGTTAACGTTTGTGGTGCATAGCTCAAAGATTTGATGACTTAATTTGTAATTCTAATTCAGTTTCTAGTGATTGTTATGCTATATAACTAATTTCAATAACGAAAACCATCTTAAGACTCCAAAGGCATTAAGGCTCAGAGAAAATAGTTTACCACAGCAAATTCATCATAGCATAATACTCAAATTTAACCAGGCTAAGTATAGGGTATTGTCTGGTCAATCACACACAATTAGATCACTT